TGGCTTTCTTTGCCAGGCTTATATATACTGATGACTAACTCTCCCATCCCAACCAAGTCTTTCCTATGGAGTGATACCTTCATCCTTAGGTTTTTCAATCGATGTGTTCTCCTCTGGGAACAGTTATAGATGCATTTGCCACTCACTGGACTACCAAACTCCCTACCTTTTGGTCTCCTGTCCTACACCCCTCAGCTCTGGAAGTGGATGTGTTCAGTCAGGATTAGAGGGGCCTTCATCTGTAAGTTTACCCTCCGATCAGACTTGTATCTAGAGTTCTTTCTCTCATCTAGACCACTCATGTTTTGTTCTTTGCTCCATAGTGGCCTACTGAGTCATGGTTTCCTCTACTCTGGTCCTTACTGGAGCAACAACCCCTGCCATTACATCAGTCCAGGTCTTTCCTCCGACAACCTCGATTGGACGTGTTTCATCCCAATGTTACCAAATTTCATTTTCACTTTTAGCTTTTGTTCAGTCCGTTGCCTTTTCTCAGTGACTCGCCCCTCATGTAGTGTCATTGCATACCCATTCCATTTGTCCTTCCAATTTGTCTGCGTATCAGAGATGCTGATTTACCTTCCGACAGTGGTCCAATCGCCATGGTTTTTGTCCTTCTGTACCTTACCTGTCCTAATTCTTTACTTGGTTATTTGATCAGGGTTTGTCCATGTCCACTGTTTCTAGTTATCAGGCTGCCCTGTCCAACACCTTAAGTTTTTCCTGTTTTTGTAAATCTTTCTCTTCCCTTATTATTTTCCATTCTTTTCATCTTGTTCATCCACCCTGTCCCTTTGTGCTTCCAGATTGGGATCTCAATGTTGTTCTTCATGCCCTGGTACATTCTCCCTTTGAACCTTTTGCTATACGTTCTTTGTACCATCTTTCTCTTAACAGCTATTTCTTTCTCTTCCTCACTTATAGTGGTTGTCATCTTGATATTTATGCTATTAACACTTCCTGTACCCTTTAGTATTCTTCTTATGTTCTCCTTTATCCCAATTGTTCCTTACTTCCCAAGAGTTTTGCTCTCGTGAAGGTTGTTTCGCCTTCTCTCCTATTTACTTACTTATTCTTATACTCTGGGTGGTAATTTTGGTTACGTCCTTTCAACCTCAACGTGTTTGAGGACGACCAGGTGTGTTCAGAAGCTTTTTTCCGCTTCTCTTCAACCCCGCTGCTTGGTGAGGGATGTACATATTCGTGAGTATTATAGTTTGTCTGGAGCAAACATTAAGCTTAGAAAATCAGGCAACAGCTTTTCATTTCCCATTTATACTACCATTCAGATCTGGATTGTCTTCTTTGTCCAGTTCGATCCCTTCATTGTTATATGTCTCATACTGACACCTTTCCCTGTTCTTACCTCTTTATTCCTTGGAACCCCTCTGTTTCCTGTGATCTTTCTTCTATTAACCTTACTGTCTTGGTTTGAAAACTCAAACAACTAACTTACTCAGACTTTTTGGTGGAAGATCATCAGCTTTTTAATGTTTCTTGGCACCAAATATGCCATTTATCTATGTCTTTAGCTGCCTGGATCTGCTGTCCTTTCGAGGAGATTTTTTTTTTTTGCCTTTTTCTTTACAGTTGATTTACATTGTATATCTTTGCACTAACTATGCATATTTTCTAATGCTCACTGTAGAAATGGGTGTTTTTGTAAGATCACTGGCTGCTAATCTATATATATTTATATATATATATACTGAGGACCATCACTCATGTACTTCATGAGAAAAGCAGATAAGGATTTTTGCCCATTCCTATTGACCCATGATTCTTACAATCCAGGTTTTTCTCCTTTTCCAAATAGGGAAATGCAGATGCCCATTGCACTGTCTCCGGTGTATCATTTCTCCAGACCCCCAACATGCATCCCCCCATTTTCTTCTAGTGGAACAAGGGGGTTCCTTGCCACTTCTGGTTCCCAGTTGCTGGAGTTGAGGACTGTGGAGGTTTCCTCACGAGTGGGATTTGTATGATAAAACAAACTTCATAGTCTTATGTACCCACTCAGTAAGAACAGGGCTATCATTATTATGATTCATTATATACACTGTAATAATATTCTCAATCCAAGGCACTTCTACTGATGTTTTTTCCTGGGTTAAACACACTTGTTGATTATGACATTCACTATTAATGCAAGGTGCTTCCACTGAATGTTTTCTGCCTGGATGGACTGCACTTTGTTATACTCAGTAACTACAAGGTGCTTCTCCCAGATGTTTTTGTTCAGGCTGACCTTTTCTGATACTTTTTTTTTCATGCAAGGTGCTTCCACTGGATGTTTTCTGTCCAACTGGATCACACTTGTCAGACTACATCATATCACAAGGCACTTTCCCCGGATGTTTTTTGCCTGGGTGGATCGCACTTGTTGATCTCTATGTATATTATGTATAAAATATGGAATGAAAATGCTATGCAAGGTGCTTCCAATGGATGTTTTCTGCCCGGTTGTTTTCAGTGTATACCAAGGTGCTTCCCCGGATGTTTTTTTGCCTGGGTGGACTGCACTTGTTGATCTTATAAATTTGTTCAAGGTGCTTCCATGTTGTTTTTGTCCTTGGACTACATTTGACATGATAAATCGTATCCAAAGGCACTTTTTCTGGATGTTTTATTGCCTTGGTGGACTGCTCTTGTTGATCTTATAAACTTATGCAAGGTGCTTCCATGTTGTTTTTGTCCTTGAACTGCACTTGGCATAATACGTTGTATTCAAAGGCACTTCTCCTGGATATTTTCTGCCCATGCGGATCACACTTGACTTACTCATATATTGTCCTCTAGCCCTAGCCATGTATTCTATTCGATTCTTCCCTATGTGTCTTCTTTACTGGGTGAAGAGCATACCTGTTCCAGAAGTAGTACTATACCCCATAGGTGTGCCTCCTGTTTTACTTGTGGTTCCTCTGTTTTTTCATGGCAGTTGTTCTCCACTTATTTGATTGTTTTTGCACCTTCACCATCCCCTCCATATTTCCAGTGTGGGATTCTAGTTTTGAAGTTAACATTTTCTAACACCGAAAATGTATTTCCAATAGGTGCATACCTCCTCTCACCCAATTCCCACACTTCCTTTCCACTGATTTGCTGGTGTTTCTGGTTTGTATATGCCAATTCTCTGCCTGCACTAGTATAGGTGGTGCAGTATGTTTGGTGGAGGGTAGTCACATGATCAGCACTTGTTGCTGCAATGATGCAAAAAATAAAGGGGTATGAAAGGCTGCACTGTTCAAAATTTTTATCAGTGCTTGGAAGGCAAGTCAAGGTAGAGATAGCTTTGGCTGAGTTCAGGTAAGTACCTATTGGAAATACATTTTCAGTGTTAGAAAATTTTAACTTCTGGATGGTACTGGTACTCTTAGTTGATTCACATTCCTTTGCTTCCAGTGCCACTTAAGCCCAAGAAATATCCCCATCGTGGAAATTGTAAATCCTTAATGTGAGAGAAGGAATATCTTACATTGGAAAATGTTTTTACATACTCTTCCCAACAGTGATAAGTTTTCAGTGGCATTGCACAACATATGAAATGTCAAACATTGTCAAAATGTAGTTCTGGTACATACTATACCACAACAACTTTATGTCAGCTGTGGTTGTCATGTGACTTGCTGATTTATTTATTTAAAATCTTTTTGATATAATTTATTAAACCTTCTGTGAAACCCGAAAATGTGTATGTATATGTAGCAACAGAGTTCAATTAGTTGTGATATGGTTTTGATCTTTGGTATAATTTTTTTACTGGCAAAGATATGTATCTCAGTTTTTTCATGGTTATCACAGTTTTGAAGCCAGTCAAAAATTGATTATTAGATGCTATGACTTCTTTAATAGTGAAAGTTTAATATAAACAGTATATAATATTTTATATATTAAAATTTATTATAATCTTTGACAGGAAAGTGTCATATAGCAATGTAACAAAAATGGAAATGAACATATGCTTGAGGAATTAGTGTCACATTTCAATTGATTTTTTTTACCTAAAAAGTCAAGAATCTTAGCAAAATGTTTTATACTCATTTAAACATGTAGAATACAATTATCATAAAATTGACCTTTAAATGTGATGATCTCCTTCAAATTTTCTGTGGGCTTTAAGTCAATGGAAATAATAAGCATAATATGGGAAGCTGCATTCCGAAATATTCCCAGATATATGTCATAGGAGATCACAATGAAATTACTTCAGCTCCTGGGGTCAGCTCACTCATTTATATATATTCCCAATGTGAAAGACTAATGCCACGGGTCTCATTGACAAACATCATCATCCGAGTCTCATTCTTCACATTTTACAGTGATGTTTTCAGTACAATACAGTAGTAATGTTGTTAGTATATGATCTCTTGACATTTTGTGGTCTACTTAATATATGAAATTGAAATATTTGGAATATAATACAGTACTGCATGTTCTCAGGATTGAATTTGGCCTCTAATTATTAATCTTATTTGTAACTTTTGAGATGTGATCATTTAGCTATTCTTTCCTGAATTGCTTTTTTATTCTATAGCAATCATGAAATGAAAATGCTACTGTGGATTGATTATATTTTGTAAAATGATGTTCAATACCATCTCTATGTTATGCAGCACAGACATTCTTGTATGTGACTGATAAATGTCAATAATAAGAAGAAATGTAAACTGTACGTTAAGTTTTCATTTCATCTTGGCTACTGTGACCTATTGACCTCTGGTAACCTATCCATAGGATTTTATTATCATTTTTTTGTTTGAATTTTGTTTTTTATCTGACATTCTAAATATAATATTAAAGAATAATGAAACATTTTGTTATCCTTACCCCCTGAAAAGTACCTATTCTGAGCCATTAACACCTGGTTTGAACTCATTCTCATAAAAAGAAATTATCAAGTAGTAATAAAGTGGCACTTACCAGATTGTGGTTCAGGACATGATAGAAATTCGGAAACCTCATAAAAAAATTCAATATATCCTACCTGCTGGTTTGTCCAAATATTCTAGCTTGGCAACTGGACAAATATGTCCATTTATGAGACCAGTAGCTTGTATAACTGCTAAAAATAATGTTAGAAATTAGACCTACTTAATAAATAAGGTTGGCCAGAGTACCCTTTGCTTTACATTTGTATAAGATTCTAAATCTTGAACAAGTAATAAATTTTCGGTATATTTTTTTTACATTCAAACAAGCTTTTTTTCTAATTTTTTGTTAATATTTTAGTACTTTGATAATCATGTATAGAAAAGAAAAATCCAGTAATGTTAAAAATAAATGTAATTTTTGTAGCTTAATATGTCTATGGGTTCATATATAATCATTTGATACCTTTAAGTGTAATTATTATTCAAAAAATTGTCTCTTTGACAAAAGTGAGAAGCCATATGAGCTCACAGAGTACTGTGCGATGCCTGCCACCAACATTTGTGAAATAAATTACAATAACTTGTGTATTTTAATTTCTGAGATTTCAAACATGTAATAAATCACTCAACACTGAAAGTTGAATGATTCTATTAGACAGTGAAGTCCAATGTAAAATAACAGATGTACTTGTTTAGAGCTGAGTGATTAACTTATTACCTGTGAGCATTGATTACATCAGTTAGTGTCATATAAAAAATAATGGATTCATTGAATTTATGATTAAACTGATTAATATCATGAAAATAACTAATCAAGATGAGTATTTCTGATTATTAATGTTTTCAGTTATTCCAACTATCTAAGTAATCAAAATATTGCCTTTATGATTTCTCAGTATCATTTTCAATTAATTCAAGGTTTTTTTTAGCTTAATCAATTATTGTCACAACTAACAAAAATAATTGATAGTGTTTCCGATTATTACTATTTTCAGTTTATTCAAATTATCCAAGTCTCGTGTGAGAATAATCAATTAACTCAATGTAATCGATTAATGAGCTGACAATTAATCAGTTATCAAATTTCATTAGTTGTCCAACTCTTCATCTAACTTAATTTGCTTTAGTAAGATACTTATGTGGCAATGCACTCCATTCACACTACATCATGAAAGTAATTTTAATTATGACTTCCATGGTAAATATGTGTATTTATTCTTCTGAATAATACTGTTTCATGAAGAATTATATGATGTGTATTATTAATTGATCAAACTTTCTAACATCAAATATCTACTCATTGTTTGTACTTTTTTTTTGCAAGAACTTTCTAAGATTGAGTGCATTAAGCAGAATATTGATATACTAACACAAATGTAATTGCTGTCACAATGATAATTTAAAGCAAAATGTCCATTAATATCTGTGTTCAGTATGATTATGTTACATTTTGTTAGAATTTTCTGTGTTTCCTAAAGATAATATAAAGAACAAGATAAATATTAACTTAGTTTTTAAACAACATTTAATACAATAGTTTATAATGAGCATAGAACTTCTACACATATATTTTATGTTGCTTTTCTCAGCAATGCAAGCAGCTAGTAAGGGCCTTTTGGATACCCTAAGTGAAACTTATGAACAAGAATGGGTAGGATATGAACAAATCCCAGTCAAGGCTCAGGTAATGCTAAAATATAAATTTATGTTCAAGAAAATAACTAGATACACCATGTTTTATAACTAATATGTGTTGATTTGCTTAATCCAAATTATTCGTAAATTTCTAATAACAGTTTAACATTTTTCCAATTGCAGGAATTTGGTTGATAGCAATTTTATATAAATCTAAATCAATTTACATCTATATCCTGTTTACATTAAACCTTAAGTTTAGAATAAATCAGTTGTGTTAAAATATAATAATAGATTAAAATTTAATAACTGTCAATATATTATCGAGTATGTCATTGCATTCAAATTTATTTTCAAGTTATTCTTTGTTACAAAGCTTATATACCTGTTGATTCTGATACAGTACATACCTCCGCTCACATAGATAACTATTCTCATTCATTGTTGCCCTCTATATGCAAAAAAATGTTTTGCACTTGCCACAAGCCTTGAAACTCCCAACCATCTAGAATTGACTAATTCCAATGCATTTCACATGCAAATTATCATGCGACAATCCTCCACCAATAAGAGTGTGACACATTCTCTTGACACGCGTGACTCCCTCTATTCAATTCTACCGAACTGTCACTTCTCGTTTGGCAGTACTCATGTTATAACATTTAATTTGTGCTCTCTTTAAATGTTTTATTTTAATTTTTTCCATATTTTTCTGTTAATTTCTCTCAGTTACAGAACTTATTACTTCATTACCAAAACTTTTTTTTATTTATTTCTGCGAACACATTTGTGTTTGGTTATTCATTTTGTATTTTGAATTCTATGTTACCACTTCAGAGGTTGTGTGTTCTATTAGCACAGACTTCATGTCACAGTACTCCACGGGAAGCTTTTCAGCTTTACTTCATTGGGAGATTGATCATCCAATGAACTGACTTTCATCAGGCCTTGCATCGAGTTTGGGGGCCTACGCATTTGACATACAGTCTGCTGAATTTGGAAAGATGAGAAGTTCTACTGTTATGGTTTTTGAATAATTTTATTGCTAATATTATTATTTTGTAGTTATTTGGGTTCCATAACACAAGTTTCATTAGATTGGTTAATGCTTAGTCAAGTTCAGGTTAGCAATTAGTCTTAGTTGTATCTTTTTTCCTATACCACATTTGCTTAGGCTTCTTATGGTCTTTGCTATTTAGGATTACCTGTAATTCATCTTACTGGTATATCAATCATTAGTTTAACTATATTGTTTTTTCTTCCATACACTACGTCTCATACAGGTTATTATTACTATCCACTTTCGTAATTTTATACAATCATATCTATTTAATTTTCGTTATTATTTATCTTTTATCCTTCTTCCTATTCACTTGATTTGTGTGGAACCCTTGAGATGAGGTCCACACAAACTTCTCCCAATATTGTACATACTTATTGTTTGGTTAAGTTTTTATTTTAGTACTTGGTGATATCCTTTGTTCTGTACTGTTTGATTAGGCTTCACAAGTGTTTGCTATTTTCGGTTTAACTGTAGTTCTACTTCTGGGTTAATCAATAATTAAGTTTGATATATTTTCTTCAATGCATAAAGTCACATACATGTTTATTTCACTATACAATTTCTTAACATTTCCATCATATCGACTGTTTCATTTTTGTCTTTCTTTATAGTCTATAAAGTTGATTTTGTTAATTTATAATTTGTACTTCTTACCATTAATTTCGTTTGTGAGGGCCCCTGGGTGCTAGGATCCACGCTAACTGCTCCCAGTATTGCTTGTCTTCCTCCTATAACAGCTGAACCTATTTTCAGATGACCTAGATTTTGTCAGTTTTCCTCCCCTTACACTACTTCGTTGTCTGTGAGTTTTTTCCCTTCCTCAATTACCCATTGGGTTACAATTGTAATTCGATTGGCCTTTTATTCCTTCTTCCCATCATCATTTCTTGGTGTTTCCACTCTGATCATGCACCTTCCTTTTTCCATGCTTGTCTACCTTGTTGTCTGTTGGAGGTACTTCGTATGTCAAGCACTGGGTCTACATCTTGCACATTCATCTCCCATTCTCTGCTGTGGGTAGCTGTTTCTTCCTTGTCAGGGTAACGTCACTCATCTGTTGCCATCCTTCACTCTTTCATGAGACTGTGACTGGCTAAGTTACTTTTTATTACATATATACCTCTTCTTTTTCAGGGACATGTCCCTCTTTTTCTTTCTGGATCCCGCTCCTTGGTGAGTGGTGCCTGACCAGGTATTCTTTAACCACTCAAATCCGTACTGTAAGACCATTATGATTCCATGGCCACACAATGCACACTGGGAGATGGGGGTTTCCACAATATCACTTGTAGGTTTATCCTTGTGGTATGTTTGCTTTGTTAATTTGCCCATCCCAGACTGTACTCAGCCATTGACTACATGGGTAAAGCAGCATGGGAAAGCTGCCCATCCCTGCCATGCCTTGTATTGAATATATTGGTATGGCTTGCTTTTCAAAATCGGGTTTTGTGTTCACCCATTGCACTGTCTCAGGTGTTGTCGTTCCTCTAGACTCTTCACTGCACTTTCTCCCCCTTTTCTTTTAGTGGAGTTCCAAACCACTGGGATGGTGGACATGAAGGCATCCTGCTGAATGTGTTAATGAAATACAAATAATATATATAAATGATTATAAAACCATTCAGTTGAGGGTAGGGTGGTGGTGTTCTGCTGGTGTAGATGAGGAGATTTCCTCCACTATGTAACATGGGAATGAGCTGTCAAAATTGCAGTTCACCCCTTCGATTGGGATCCCTTATCCTACCCCTACATGGAGGTTGTTTCCCAGTAACTGGATTTTGGACTTAGAGCTGAACCAATCAACATAAATCCTCACACATGTGTCACAGATGTCTCTATTTCCTCCCTCATTTATACTCTTTTTTTACTCCATCTGTGTTGTAGATCACAGTGGAGGTACTTGTATATTACTACAGTTCTTTCCCTTCCTCTCTTTCTCGGTACTTATTATTCTGATGATGTTACTGCACTTAGGGTGGTTCTGGTCATTATAACTTTGAGTGAGATGGTTTACATTACACAGACATCTTTTCGATGCCGGGTTACACAGCAAGTCAACTACACCAAAACCCATGCTGCTGGGAACTGACATCCACACGGGGGTAGGATGAGGATGGTACCAGCCAGATGGTACCAGCATCCATGTGGGATTGGGAAAGAGGATCATACCACCAGCAAGTCGACTACAATCAAAAATCTAAGCCACCAGGAACCGACATCCTAGTGGGAGTAGAAAAGAAGATCATTCTGTCTTCACCTCAAGTTCATGAGACTGGAGGGAATATCGTACCCCCACCCCAAACCTATGAACAGGCACAGGATAACAATGTGACAAATTAAATGATCAATCTGGGATGGTCTGTTACACCCTAGTTATGCTACACCTATGGGCACATTCTTTAATCTTCCCCAATTTTATGTTTTCAGGGATTGAGTTTAATAAATAATGTATGCCATAGTTCTCTTCCATTTGGATGTGCTCCTCTATTTTTCCACCCATATATGCGACATTTTTCCACAATGGGCGAAGAGTATACCTGGTTCAGAAGTGGTGTGGTCTTCCACTTATGATCTTCATTCTAAAGATCTCCTTTTGTGGACTGTCCTTCAGATGCTTGTTTTTTTTTCCCCGCACCAGTCCCTCCACCTATTCAATGTGAGATTCTAACTAGTTATGTGAGAAGAAGTAAAGTACTGTATCAGAAGTTATAATTTTCCTATACTGAAAATATAATTTCGATAGGTACTTACGTCTTCTCACTCTTCCTCTCTACTGAAAACTAGTTCTTCCATTTTCTGCCAACACTCGCAGTGATAGTTCTGTAGAATTGAATGGAGGGAGTTACATGCATCAAGAGAGTGTGTCACGCTCTTATTGGTGGAGGTTTGTCGTATGATAGTTTGCATTTGAGATGAAGTGGAATTAGTCAGTTCCAGATGGGTTGGAGTTTCAAGGCTTGTGGCATGGGCAAAAAATCTTTTTTGCACATAAAGTCATCAAGAAATTAATGTCGCTTTTTTTAGATGAAAAAACTCGAACAACTTGTACATTAAAACAAAACATTTATCAAATGAAATAGTCTTCATTCTTATCAATGATGCTTTTCCATCTTACAATCAAGTTGTTAATGCCCTGATTAAAGAAATCACTTGGCTTTAAAGCAAAAAACATCTCGATGTCCTCTTTAACACCTTCCACATTTGCATACGTTTTCCCATTAAGATGGTGCTGCAAAAGATGGTAATCTGATGGTGCCCTATCTGGAGAATATGGTGGGTGGGGGAGAACTTCCCAATCCAACTCCATCATCTTGTGTTGTGT